TTTCTTGATTGTCCGACCATTTGGGTTAAAATGAAATATCGTTTCGTATTCTACGAACCCTTGTGAACATTTTGGTATATAAAACTTATTGTTCCTAGACATAGACTGGTTGACCCCCAAAATATGCATGATTTACTAGTTCATTTCCTACACTAGAAGTTGTTGTCATTTTATAGGATTTTAAAGAAAAATATATGTTATTATAAAATTCGCTACGACAAAAGAAACAAAACAGAAATACAGTATCTTTCAAGAAACAAGAAAAAGGCATCATATTGCAATATTTTTCACATTGAAACTTCTACTGTACATATGGTATGAATTGGAAAAGTGAAGGTTTAAATGTATTGTCCATGATTTTTGAAATATATGCTAATTTTTGTGATCGCTTTTCGTCCGGCGTCCGTCCGTCGTCCGTCCGTAAACTTTTGCTTTAAATGACATCTCCTCATAAACCACTGAGCCAATTTCATCCAAACTTCACAGAAATGTTTCTTTGGTGGTCACCTTTAAAAATTGTTCAAAGAATTTAATTCCATGCAGAACTCTGGTTGACATGGCAACCAAAAGAAAAAACTTTAAATATCTTCTTTTAAAAAACCATAAGAGCTAGAGCTTAGATATTTGGCATGAAACATCTTCTAGTGAGTGTCTACCAAGTTTGTTCAAATAAAAGCCCTGGGGTCAAAATTGGCCCCGCCCCAGGGGGTCATTGATTTTCCCTATATGCATATAGTAAAAACTTAAAAAATCTTCTTTTAAAGAACCCAAAGAGCTAGAGCTAAGATATTTAGCATGAAACATCTTCTAATGAGTGTCTACCAAGTTTGTTCAAATAAAAGCTCTGGGGTCAAAATTGGCCCCGCCCCAGGGGGTCATTGATTTTCCCTATATGCATATAGTAAAAACTTAAAAAATCTTCTTTTAAAGAACTCAAAGAGCTAAAGCTAAGATATTTAGCATGAAACATGTTCTAATGGGTGTCTACCAAGTATGTTCAAATAAAAGCCCTGGGGTCAAAACTGGCCCCGCCCGGGGGGGGTCATTGATTTTCCTTATATGTGTATAGCAAAAACTTAAAAATCTACTTTGGAAAAACCCAAATAGCTAGAGTTTAGATATTAAGCATGAAACATCTTTAAATAAATATCTACAAAGTTTGTTAAAATAAACGCCCGGGGGTCAAAACTGGCCCTGCCCCAGGGGTGTCATTGTTTTTAACTATATGTGTATAGTAAAAACTGTAAAAATCTTCTTTTAAAAAAGCCAATGAGCTAGAACTTAGATGTTTAGCATGAAACATCTTCTTATGGGTGTCTACCAAGTCTGTTCAAATAAACAAATAAAAGCCCTTGGGTAAAAATTGGCCCGGGGGTGAGGGGGGGCCTATATACAGGTGAGCGACCTCAGGGCCATCATGGCCCTCTTGTACTGAGAAACATTCATGAACTGGTATAATTAATTAAAAATTGTATTACGGGAAGTGTTATTTTTTTTAACTAATGAAATTTTTACCAAGTTCATAAAATAATAACTTTATTATTATTATTATAAATACAGGCTGTATTCAATAAATTACCACCAAGTATAGCGAGATTTTCACCAGAAGAGCCAGATATTATTGTATATACTGGCTATGGTATGCAGAAAAATATGCAGTTCTACAGCTTGTCTCAAAGAAAGGTAAATTTACCTGTTCTTTCCTTTTGTTTGTATAATTTTTATACTTTTACTTCAAAAATTGTCATTACAATAGCAAATGAACTGCGCTATGACAAAACCAACATAGTGGGTTTGCGACCAGAATGAATCCAGACCAGCCTGCGCATCAGCCCAGTCTGATCAGGATCCATGCTGTTTGCTTACAAACTCTATAACAAGTAGAGAAACTGATAGCGAACAGCATGGATCCTGATCAGACTGCGCGGATCCATGCTGGTCGCAAACCCATTTTATATTGGTTTTGTCATGGCGCGGCTCAAATAATTATCTGAAGAAGAATATTAACAAGACATTAAAAGAACAATGCCCTATTCATATTTTAACTGTTGCTACAGACTGTTTGAATATACATGTATAAAGATTAGGCTGTTTATTTATGTTGAAAATTGTTTATTAAATGGTCCACTATTGCACCATAAATGATTTTTATTACTGCATTTTCATTATTCAAAAAATTAAATTAACAACAACAGTTAAACCTGTTTAGTTATAGAACAATCATACAAAACACATAAATTTGGTCTAAGTTTTAGTGACTATATGTGTTTACATGTGAAGATTAAAATATGAAAAATAGCAAGCATTATACTGGTATTTCCACAAAATTAAAAAAAAAAAAAAAACAATGACAGTTTTCCTTATTTCTGTGTTGATGTCAAAAGTCAAGCATTCAAGTTATTTTTACATAATGAACCATTATCTATAGTCACTCATGCTGTGCCATATTGTTCAGAAATAAGTGACAAATACTAAGAGAGGACAAGTAGCATCTGATGAATGAATCATATTATAAGTAACAAAATTGATGAATTCAAATTTGTATTAAAATTTATATTTAGGAGGAATGGTTTGATACATGTAATTTGTGATTAATTATTTCAGGTTGTGAGGACATTAGCATTAACTCACTGGTGTAGAAGTTTAGATCTGGTTGCTGAATGTCCACTCATTGCTATAGGTGCTAATGGTATGTATTGTCTTGATATTTAACCCTATAACTGCTAAATTTTTGTAATGGATTTGTCTAGCTTTGAATTTGGAACAGTCAATTCAAAGTTTAAGGGATTTCAGTATCAGCATACAAAAATTGATCAGTCATCACTATTTAGCTGGGTCAGAATGCATGGATGTACAGGCTAGCTTGACTGTGTACTGGTGGCAAAAGCTTATATCACTTTTTGTTCCAGCAGTGTGAAGGTTCATGACACATATATCTATAGTAATATCACTGACTAAAAAAATGTTTGATATATGGTAATTTATTTAATGGTGGCAGTTAAGATGTTTTGTAATTGCATTGCACACTACATTCCGAACTCCTCAAAGAGGTTACATCACACTTTGCTACTTGAACCACTACCATCACCATAACACAAAGATTGGTGTATCATTTAACTAAGGGAGTCACTTGTTACTGTGAAAAATACTTTTATTTTTACAAAAAATGTGTTTTGTTTATATATTAGACACAAACGGGCACCTGAGTAAAACCACGGACATTCCATAAGCAAGCTGGATAGCTTTCTCACAAGAAAGAATGCAAAGACCCTTGTTCAGCTCAAACCATTTATGGTGAGTGGCAAGTGGTTTGAAGTCAGCAACCCTAACCACTCAAGTCTATGATTTCCATACACATACATGTATCTGATATATGGTATTAGAAAATACAAAACTAAAGTATGAACACAATTGCTGCATTGTCAATGAATGAAATAATTAAACGATTATATAGGAACTTGATTATCCTGAATCAGACATTATGTAATTAAAGCTTAATTGTACCTTTGTTTCAGAGCGCCTGCTGAAACTATTGGACTATTTTGAAGGCAGTTTCCAGGACTTTATAGGACATAATGATAGAGTTCAGACTGTAAAATTCTCTCCAGATGGCAAATATCTTTTCTCCGCCTCTCATGCAGAAATATTCATCTGGGATGTGACTCTTTGATAGTATAGAATGTTACACTGAGGTCTTGCATTGAATATTCATCTGGGATGTGACACTTGTATTGAATATTCATCTGGGATGTGACATTTCAATTGTACAAGATGTAACAGTGACATGTTTGAGTGTAACATTTTTATGTGACACTTCAATAGCATGAAATATTACACTGAAATGTTGAGTGTAACATTTTTACAGATAGTAAACTGTGATAATTATGAATGTTACACTGAAATCTGAGGTGCAACATAAGAGTTAGTGTAGAATGTTACACTAATTACACTGTTTTGTGAGATGTTACACTGTAATAGTAAAGATATTTACTATTCCAAATTTAGCGTAACATTCACATTGATATTTTTAATTTGCATCTGAGATGATACTCTGTGATAAACATTTTAAAATGTAATGAATGATGACCGAGTTTGTTATTTGAAGAGCTATTGACTATGTTCAAATAAACTGTCAATTCTGAATGAATCATGCATGAGAAAGGAATTATTATTAGTGTTAATAGATAATAATGCATGTAATGTTGCACTTTCATCTTGTCAAAAGTTGTGATACAAGTTTAAAGTGAAGGTATTTCATAATTAATTTTATTAATTAAGTCACAAACTGATCAATAAATTGGTGTATTAGTTAATTATTGATTTGCAACTTTTCATACAAGATTAATAATAGGAAACATGTTTAAGATGCCACTTAACCAGGTATGATATTTATAATTGCATTTAGTTTTATGTATATTTTTGTATTAAAAACATCCACATTTATAAACCATTCCAATAATTATATATTTTAAGAATTCCGTTATGTACCTCTAAATTTTTAATGTTTTTGCTTGATATGCTAGTAGATGTATACTCATAATTTCTAATTGACCAGTAGTTTTGATGATTCCGGTTTTGGTTTGAAGTGAAGCCAAAAATCAGTGATTATAAATTTAATTTGTAAAGATATACCATTTACAAGTTTCCATACAAGTATTTATAGCTTCATGTGTTTTGTAAAAACTTGCCAGGTTTATAAATGTAGATTAAATACTCTATAGGTTTTTGTAGGAAAACATTACATAAAAGTACTTCTCATGTACTGCAAAAGAATAAAATGAAACAAGGGAAAAATAATTTCATGAAAAATTTCCTGTAAAGTTTAATGCATGTATAGTACATGTGTAGATTTAGAAAACTCTTCATCTTCCTAAAACAGGTAATAATCTAATATGTATAAAAATATAGTGTATAAAATGTATTGTATAGAAATAGTGATAAAATCTCAAAATTTTGTTTATGTCCGTCCATTTATTTATTTATTATGTGCTAAATAAAAGTAGAAACCATCTTGTGGTTTTGTTTTTACTTTAAAAGTAAAAGTGGGTACTTTCCTAGGCTAAATCCAGTTGTAGCATAAAATCATGTACATAATGTTGTGTTAAGCATCATAGATACAAGGTCATTCGTACATTTTATTTTTTCAACTTTACCTTGAAATTTACTCTTTTTTTTTTTTTTTTCTTCAATATTCTGACTGGAATGAAATTGTGTGCATTGTTGAGGAATATTAGTTAGAGATCTTTTTCAGACAAATCATTGTACAAATGATTGTTTTTGTCATTACACAAGGTTAAAGTTGAGACGTTTTTTAGTTGTAATTTGCCCTTCATTATCAATGGTGACAAGCCTGACTTAACAACTCCCCACACACGCTTCTAAAAGAAAGTCGTGAAGAAAAAAAATTCTATTATAAAAACATTCTCTCCTTAATTTTTTTTGAAAGAGTCTTTGGACACTGCATGTGTGGGGAAAAAAAACAACTTCTAAAATAACTGTGTCACCACTTTTATTTGCTAAAGACAAGTTAGCAAAAATAGTTACAGTAATTAAATAAGCTTTCATCTATTCAAGTTTATTAAAGTCTTCTATTATACATGCAGTAAAATAGAATAATGATAGTTGAACAATTGGTAGTACATGTAATTGGTATAATGTAGAGATAAGCCAATTCATCAACAAATTCTTCAACTTTTGACAAAATCCGAGAAAAAATAAAACAATAGGCACAAATACCATCTGAGTTGTATCAGAATGTACGACAGTTTGGGTCAATTTGACACATGAGGATAATTTCCAAGATAATGTCAGAAGCCCATGTTGTTGATGAATTGGAAATAATTCCAAGACTTTTTTGTCTTATTTTTTAACGATATAAATGTAGATTAAATAACGTTTATTACATAAAATATAAACAAAATGATAATACATAACAGACAACAAAGGTATCTACAGAAAGATATTATTTGCAAAATTTAACCTGCATAAATAGGAGATAAAAGTCATCTAATTCTGAATATAAATAAATTACAAGTCCTGCAGTTAAAAAAAAAACTATAAAAAAAAGAACAAGAGGGCCATGATGGCCCTGAGGTCGCTCACCTGTATATAGTCCCCCCAACCCCCCCCCCCCAATGTTGCAGGGTCAATTTAACCCAAGGGCTTTTATTTGCACAAACTTGGTAGACACCCATAAGAAAATGTTTCATGCTAAACATCTAAGCTCTAGCTCATTGGGCTTTTTAAAAGAAGATTTTTTTAAGTTTTTACTATACACATATAGTTAAAAACAATGACACCCAGTTTTGACCCCAGGGCTTTTATTTGAACAAACTTTGTAGACACTTACTAGAAGATGGTTCATGCTTAATATCTTAACTCTAGCTATTTGGTTTTTTTCAAAGAAGATTTTAAGTTTTTGCTATACACATATAAAGAAAATCAATGACCCCCGGGGCGGGGCCAATTTTGACCCCAGGGCTTTTATTTGAACAAACTTTGTAGACACTCACTAAAAGATGTTTCATGATTAATATCTTAACTCTAGCTATTTGGGTTTTTTCAAAGAAGATTTTTTAAGTTTTTGCTATACACATATATGGAAAATCAATGACCCCCTGGGCGGTGCCAATTTTGACCCCAGGGCTTTTATTTGAACAAACTTGGTAGACACCTATTAGAACATGTTTGATGCTAAATATCTTAGCCATAGCTCTTTGAGTTCTTTAAAAGAAGATTTTTTAAGTTTTTACTATATGCATATAGGGAAAATCAATGACCCCCTGGGGCGGGGCCAATTTTGACCCCAGGGCTTTTATTTGAACAAAATTGGTAGACACTTATTAGAACATGTTTCATGCTAAATATCTTAGCTCTAACTCTTTTGGTTCTTTTAAAGAAGATTTTTTAAAGTTTTTACTATATGCATATAGGGAAAATCAATGACCCCCCGGGGCGGGGCCAATTTTGACCCCAGGGCTTTTATTTGAACAAACTTGGTAGACATCCATTAGAACATGTTTCATGCTAAATATCTTAGCTCTAGCTCTTTGGGTTCTTTAAAAGAAGATTTTTTAAGGTTTTACTATATGCATATAGGGAAAATCAATGACCCCCCGGGGCGGGGCCAATTTTGACCCCAGGGCTTTTATTTGAACAAACTTGGTAGACACTCACTAGAAGATGTTTCATGCCAAATATCTAAGCTCTAGCTCTTATGGTTTTTTAAAAGAAGATATTTAAAGTTTTTTCTTTCTGTTGCCATGGCAACCAGAGTTCTGCATGGAATTAAATTCTTTGAACAATTTTTAAAGGTGACCACCAAAGGAACATTCCTGTGAAGTTTGGATGAAATTGGCCAAGTGATTTATGAGGAGATGTCATTTAAAGTAAAAGTTTACGGACGGACGCCGGACGGCCGGACGCCGGACGAAAAGCGATCACAAAAGCTCACCCTGTCACTTTGTGACAGGTGAGCTAAAAACAAGTATAAAGCAACAGATACATTTCTTGTTTTGTGTCTTTTCGATGGTAAATCTTTACAAGTATATACTTCTAGTACATCTTAATATATGAACAGAAAAATATATTTTCACGAGGGATAATTAATGTAAATTTTATTTGAATCTTTCTGAAGACTTACAATCTTTGGCCCCAAATTTTTAATGAAATTTTTTTATAAAGGGGTAACTCTACATTAAATGTTGAATTTCTATATTACAATATTGTATTTATAATATAATGATTTATTAAGAGGGTTATTCAGTTTTCAATGTCACAAATCACCTAATATTAACATCTCCAGTGCTTAGAAAAAAATACATTTGCAGCCAAATAGTGCTTTAACAATCATAGACAAAGTATATAATACTTATTTGCAAGTCACATGGGAATGACATCTTTTAAAACAAGTGACTTGTCTTACATGCTGGGGTGTAAGAAAAGTTTTTCTAGCATCTGTGTAAATGGTAGATAATCCTGTCTGATATGCAAGAAAATATATATTTATATACTATATGTATAAAAGAATGGAAATAATATCAAAAGTAAGATATGTCAGGGAATAAGTAATGCCTCCAGAAACAAACCACATGCGTTTCAAAGGTTAATATTTTAATTTAATTTAATTATATTTCACTTTATCTCATTTTATTCTCATCTATACACATAAAAAATACTAACACACAATTATTGCAAACATGAAAAATGTCTTCATAAAACCAGTTTAATGAACTAAAAAAAACAGCAGAGAAGTAATTTTAAAAGATCGGAGTAAAAGTGTATAATTACTATACATTTAGTTCTAACATATATTTCTTTAATAAAATGAGTATATATGGAAATTTCAGATTCAAATATCATTATATTATGCAAAAAAGAGTCCATAATCAAATCTTAGTATAGTATATTAACATATTCAAATTACTTAGATACCTAAATGGCATTTCGAGAAAAATCTTAATTGATACCTTATAAGTATTAAGTTTGTATACATAGATATTTTAACAATATGTAAAAGTGGATAAGATAATGTGTCATGCATCTCTAATGTTGCTGTATAAATCAAACAATTCAAATTCAAGTCTAGTCGTATGATTTATCCCTCTAAATGAATGGAATAAACCTGATTTAAAAGCAAGTTAATTACTAATACATTTACAAAACTGTTATTACCATTACTGTAATTTAAACCTGTGACCTGCTGTATTTTTAAAATGGATTTCTCCAACTGAAATATTTTGAACTGTCCATTTTCAATTCTGGGGATATCAAGATCAAAGTTGATCGGTCAACAGTATAAAGCCTGGTGTCAGACTGCACATATGTTCAGGCTAGCCTGGCTCTATACTGGTGACAAGGGATATCACTTTTGGTTCCAGCAAGTTAAAGAAAGCCCATAATTCACAGAACTGAACAGTAAATTATTACTAATCGATTATTTCTAAGACTTCAAAAACATTAAAGTTAAATTATTCTGTCAGTCTGTCACAAATAAATCTGCGTAGCAAATCATTCTTACTTGGTACATATAAATCTAATACATGATTTTCATATTAAGTAATCCAGGTGAAAGAATCCAGAATTATTTGTTGTCTTGCTTCTTTGTTGTCATCAATTTTCTTGAATCGTTCTTATATTATTATAGCACTAATAAAACAAAGTTGGAATCTATGGAAATATGGCAACAAAAGGGATTAAAAATAAATATGACTTTAAATGAAAATAAACATCTAGTAACATATTAATATACTAGTCATAATGTGGGAAAGTAGGCAGAGTTAAGGTGGTGAAGGCGGTCAGTACCCTCCTCCTAGCAGAGCAAGTAAACACCTCTTGTAATCTCCAGATGTATCTCCCTGAAATATAGTAAAAACAACAGGTCACATGTTGAGTTGTTATTTAATATGATTCATATGTGAATTAATGACAACATAAGTTGTATAAGGTTAAGCCATACAGTTTGATATTTTAAACACGTGTAATACAATAAAAGTCAAGGGGAAATTACTTTTTCCTGTATAAATTGAGCAATTTTCAAGCTTTACTTATGAAGGTTTTATTTCCGACATAAGTGGACACCTTCCCTAGACTAGCTAGACAGCTTCCTATCATGAAAGAATTCGAAGTCTGTGTCTGGATTCGAACCCACAGCAGTGAGGGGCAAGTGATTCAAAATCTGCAAACAACAGAGGATCCTTGTTGAATGTCTTCAGCAACTATGTTTGGCTCTTAATATCATAAGCAATAATATTATAGGATGCGCTGCTTGACCTTATAAGCAGGAAATATGTTTTGTTTGGTTTTGCGGCGCATCAACACAATTTGCATCATATGGTGCCGAAACAGTAAAGATGATTTTGACTACAACCTTAAAGCAACATCGGCGGTCAAAGAAACAGGATATATGAATAATATTGATTGACTAGAATTGAAAATAAAAACACACATAATACTTTTAAAACAAATATAGACATTTTTTTTGGCTGTCATTTATCAACATTTATTGTAAAATCAACAGACATTATGACAATCTCTGCATGCACTTAGAGCTGGACCAGTTGGTCATATCTATATAGAATGACCACATTTTACATCAGTTATACAAACATTCATGCATAAGTTTAGAACACCATTCTCCTTACATTCAATGTACTGTACAATGTTAACTATGTATGACAAAAATTTTGAATCACTAGTTTTTTTGGTTTTTTTGAGTGGATTTTATGTCACACTGTATAGGTGAAGAGGACCTCAGGTGCCCTTCAGTGCATTATTTCAGGTACAAACGAGCAGCAATGTAGAACCACCAACATTCCTAAGCTAGCTTGATAGCTTCCTAACATGAAAGAATTCATAGTCCCTGTTGGGATTCAAACCAACGGCGGTGAGGGGCAAGTTGTTCGAAGTCAACCACCTTAATCACTCGGCCACGGACGTTCCTTTGAATCAAGACGGAAGTATCCAGGTTTGCATTTCATAACAAATTCCCCTCCTCCCCAAATATTACTGTTATAAATATCAGATACCAGAATTAATGTACTGAACTTCCACCAGTTCTACTAAACTCATTCTTATCTTATTCAAGTCACCAGTGGCTGAGTTTTTATTCAAATACAAGAGGGCCATGATGGCCCTGAGGCCGCTCACCTGTATATAGGCCCCCCATCCCCCTGCCAATTTTTACCCAAGGGCTTTTATTTGTTTATTTGAACAGACTTGGTAGACACCCATAAGAAGATGTTTCATGCTAAACATCTAAGTTCTAGCTCATTGGCTTTTTTAAAAGAAGATTTTTAAAGTTTTTACTATACACATATAGTTAAAAACAATGTCACCCCTGGGGCAGGGCCAGTTTTGACCCCCGGGTGTTTATTTGAACAAACTTTGTAGATATTTACTAAAAGATGTTTCATGCTTAATATCTAAACTCTAGCTATTTGGGTTTTTCCAAAGAAGATTTTTAAGTTTTTGCTATACACATATAAGGAAAATCAATGACCCCCCCCCCCGGGCGGGGCCAGTTTTGACCCCAGGGCTTTTATTTGAACATACTTGGTAGACACCCATTAGAACATGTTTATGCTAAATATCTAAGCTCTAGCTCTTATGGTTCTTTAAAAGAAGATTTTTTAAGTTTTTACTATATGCATATAGGGAAAATCAATGACCCCCGGGGCGGGGCCAATTTTGACCCCAGGGCTTTTATTTGAACAAACTTGGTAGACACTCATTAGAAGATGTTTCATGCTAAATATCTAAGCTCTAGCTCTTACGGTTCTTTAAAAGAAGATTTTTTAAGTTTTTACTATATGCATATAGGGAAAATCAATGACCCCCAGGGGCGGGGCCAATTTTGACCCCAGGGCTTTTATTTGAACAAACTTGGTAGACACCCATTAGAACATGTTTCATGCTAAATATCTAAGCTCTAGCTCTTTGAGTTCTTTAAAAGAAGATTTTTTAAGTTTTTACTATATGCATATAGGGAAAATCAATGACCCCCTGGGGCGGGGCCAATTTTGACCCCAGAGCTTTTATTTGAACAAACTTGGTAGACACTCATTAGAAGATGTTTCATGCTAAATATCTTAGCTCTAGCTCTTTGGGTTCTTTAAAAGAAGATTTTTTAAGTTTTTACTATATGCATAAAGGGAAAATCTATGACCCCCTGGGGCAGGGTCAATTTTGACCACAGGGCTTTTATTTGAACAAACTTGGTAGACATTCACTAGAAGATGTTTCATGCCAAATATCTAAGCTCTAGCTCTTATGGTTCTTTAAAAGAAGAATTTTTTAAGTTTTTACCATATGCATATAGGGAAAATCAATGACCCCCGGGGCGGGGCCAATTTTGACCCCAGGGCTTTAATTTGAACAAACTTGGTAGACACTCACTAGAAGATGTTTCATGCTTAATATCTTAGCTCTAGCTCTTTGGGTTCTTTAAAAGAAGATTTTTTAAGTTTTTACTATATGCATATTGGGAAAATCAATGACCCCCTGGGTCGGGGCCAATTTTGACCCCAGGGCTTTTATTTGAACAAACTTGGTAGACATTCACTAGAAGATGTTTCATGCCAAATATCTAAGCTCTAGCTCTTACGGTTCTTTAAAAGAAGATTTTTTAAGTTTTTACTATATGCATATAGGGAAAATCAATGACCCCCAGGGGCGGGGCCAATTTTGACCCCAGGGCTTTTATTTGAACAAACTTGGTAGACACTCACTAGAAGATGTTTCATGCCAAATATCTAAGCTCTAGCTCTTATGGTTTTTTAAAAGAAGATATTTAAAGTTTTTTCTTTTGGTTGCCATGGCAACCAGAGTTCTGCATGGAATTAAATTCTTTGAACAATTTTTGAAGGTGACCACCAAAGGAACATTCCTGTGAAGTTTGGATGAAATTGGCTCAGTGGTTTATGAGGAGATGTCATTTAAAGCAAAAGTTTACGGACGGACGGACGGACGACGGACGGACGATGGACGGACGGACGCCGGACGAAAAGCGATCACAAAAGCTCACCCTGTCACTTTGTGACAGGTGAGCTAATAAAAACACCAGAATTAAACAGTTTGGATTCTGATTATACTTTATGACTACAGGCTCATGGACTATGCAAATTATTACTGCTACAACTGACATAATTCAATGACTAAAGTATAGAATGTTTATATACATTAAGTCAAATGCTTCTATTCATGTAACTGTTTCCATAGATTTACATTACTGTAAAGTTTCAATAAAATCTGATTATAGACTGTAGTGCTTAATAGTGAGTAGACAATTAGATAATGTCACTACAGCAAGTGACTGTAAAAGTTGAAACTGCATAAAAGTAAAATGCAGGTAAAGCAGGTAAAATAGTTTTGCACTCACACACTGATTTTTTTAAAGCTCCATTCAGGTTCTGTATATTCAACTGCAACTTTTTGTATAAAGTTTTTTCCCCCTTAATAAATGTGAAATTGCATATTTGCAGATTTTAAAACCAAAGCAGTCCTCTGGGTTTGTGATATAGGCACCTTAACTTGATAATTTGATAACTTTAACACCACAAATGTCACAAACAATAGTGTAATTGTTAAGGTCATGCAACAAATTAAGATATAATAATGTATGTGTAATATATATCAATCATGTAAAATAGTGGATAATTATCAACATAAATAAACATACAAAGTATACTAGATTTAATAAAAACATGTTGTCCAATATAAAATATGAATCTATGTATCCTCTGTAAGACTGTTAGTAAAACATTTAAATAAAAACGGCCTGACCTTTAAAAATACATTTCTACAACCATATTTTTGTTTAAACTTTTATCACCTCCATGAAACCATAACCACGTGCTTTATTTACATATTGTACTTGAGACAAAAGGAGATAATGTGGAGAATAAAAAGATAAGAGCGCTTAGGTAATTAAGGTACCAGAACTGAAATTTTTTTATTTTTATTTTTAATACTGTTAGTTAACTGTTTACAAATTGTCATATATAAAACCTGGCCCATGATAATTCATTTTGTATATTACATAAAATGTCACCAATTATGATAATTCTTATTCACCAATCTGTTGACAATTATACTTATCAAATAACCCATTTTTTAGGAATGAAAAAAAAATCCGGTGATTGAATGAAGCCAGAAAAGAAAAGAAATAGAAACACTGTTCTTCCCCAAGTTTCAAAATCCTCTAGCTCTGCTTGAATACCTCTATGAAATTATAGAAAAGCAAGGCAGAGAGTAAGCATGCTACAAAACTACATGTATGTAATTATATACATTTTTATTAATTGGTTATCCTCACAAATTGACACTTATGTGATTTATCATATCTTTCAATTTTGAAACCATCTTGAAATTACATGTCTTCAAAATACAGTTAAAATAATCCAATAAGTGTAGGCTTATTTTCAGCAACAGTAAGTCACCTCAGTGCAATAACAAGTTAACTCCTATAAAAATTTGTGTTAACCCCTTACTGCACTAAGGTGACAATAAAATTATTATATGAAGGTTTTATAAAAATAATTTTCCATATGCAATATGGTACAATAAAACAAAAGCTGGAATCATCTTTGAAGATCAGTAAAGCATAATCATAAAAATATTTTTTTTTTGAATTGTATGCAGTACAGCTGTAACTTATCTTGGCATTTCGATTGACTAATCAATTACATGTACATAAGGGAAACCATTCTACAATATAATTCCCATTTAACCTAAAGAGCAAACAGTGAGGCAACTTGTACAAATATCTCAGATTAACAATAACTCAACAGAAACTTGCCATTAAGAGAATGGTCACCGGTTGATTCTATCACAAAGCATACACTGACCGCCGTGGTCTAGTTGAGAAATCTATGGACTTCCACGCAGATTATGGTCTGAAACCAACTTAAGGCCAAATTCAATAAAACTGCCTGATCAATTGTTAATCATTATTTTTCAAGTTAATTTGTTTGCTTTTCCTTTTCTTAGACAGTCCTAATACAATGTCCAGTTCTCAATTCCATTAAAATGCTAAATTTCCCATAAATGGTGTCAAAAGTATTAATATGGCTGATGTCATATTTTGTTTTTACCCAATTTCACCCTAATAAAAACAATTCCAATTGAACTAGCACCCATTTCACATAGGGTGAATACAAAATTACTGTTTATGTCTCTGTAACCACATAAGTATCTATTTGTAAGTACCATTCAATACATGTATATAATTATATACATATAAACTAAAACAAGGTACAGAGTAAAGACAAGTGTAAAAAATATAAGGAACCACATACATCAAGTAGTGGTTCTAGTAGCCTGCGCCAATCATTCCAAGTATTACACGACGGTAATCGCCAGAAATATCGTCCTGAAATTTACAGAGAGTGCTTCGTGCCAATTAAGAAAAATCACAAAAAGAAACATACAAAAGATGGAGAAAATATACAGGGAATGTATGTGGGAAACATGGCATAGACAACAAGCTACTAGGAATGTGCTTTTAGGCCATCACCTGTTTCTCTTCCACTTCTCCTTAACCCCCAAATCCAACAGTTCAATTAAGTTCAAAGGGGCATAACTCTGCATAACTGATTATTAACTCATAAGCAATATTTGGTCAAAGCGTATTTTTCTTTTTATTTTTTTCTTTAATTTATCAATTTATTTTAATTTCAATTATCAAGGCAATTCAAATACTTGTCTCAAGAAATATGTGGTTCTTTATACAGTGAAAGCAATGTTTATATTAGTATGATACATTTTTCTTAAAACTTCAAATAAATTATTTAAGCACTTGGTTAGAATGAAAAGTAAGTAACAATAGGGGTACTATCTATAAATTATATGTCTTATCTTAATAAATAAGTACAACACTGACACCAATCAGGCAAATCTGGTTTAAACATATCAATTTACAAAAGAACTATGTAGGTCTATATGGCTCACCTAAATAAATGGAAAACTTGGATAATAATATCCAAATGACAAGGCCAGTTTATACTTTTGGCTTAAAAGAAGATGTTGTTTTAAATATATTGAGGATAACATCATATAAAATTATGATTGACACTGGGCAATCAATCAAGTCTTAGCACTTTGTCCTCATGTAGTCACAGCAATTTTAATCTTAAACACAGATTTGTCTGTATTTTCAGGAAATTTAAATATGTAAAATCATGAACCTGTTATAATGTAACAGAAACCAGTCTAGCTTAACTGTCTAACTAAAACCCTAGTACAGGTAGACAACATGGCAATAAATTGGCTTTATAAGACCTCATAAAACTAGCAGAATACATTGTCAAAACAAAATACAGTCAATTCTTACTTTAGTGAAATATACATCATTTTTTACGTTATTTCCTACCACTTAGAAACATTAATATTTTGAAAAACAAAGTTCAAAACAATTTCCCACATTCCCAATATAATATTCTATAGGAAACAACACAAACACCTACACTTGAAAAAACAACTTGAATCTGGCAGTAAATGTATTTTTAAACTGGTCCAATTCTAAATGAGCCTATTTTTCATATATTCATTTTGAAAAACCATCTCAAAGAAAAGTATATTACTCTACAGAAATATTCTATATATTATGATACTATAAATTACTATTTTCAAACTCTCACAATATACAAAACATGAAAATATTCTATTATGTAGACTGGTTAACAGAAAATATTTCATATTGTTCTGTTTTACAGGCTAAAAATATCAAACAGTCCTTGAATGTGTCAGTAAATATTTCCTGAAGAGGTTAACAGAAAGGACATGAACGGCGACATGTCTGGGGTTCGCACTTTTAGTGCCTGAAAGGGTGGATGGACCCTCATTAAGCATATAATACATACATACATACATAATAAAATTACATGAAGTTCTTTTTTTTTTCTTTCTCAAGCCAAAACATGAAATACAGTCTGTAGACCTGTTCACAAGTTTTATTTGTATACAGGACTGTTATTTCAAGGTAAAATTTAAATACAGTCTGTAGACCTGTTTACAGGTTTTATTTGTACATATAACTGTTATTTCAAGGTAAAATATAAATACAGTCTTTAGACCAGTTCACAGGTTTTTTGTACACCAGACTGTTATTTCAAGTTAAAATATAAATACAGTCTATACTAACCCTAACAAATTGTTCCAAACTTTGACCATACATCTTCTGGAACTCTTGTTTGATCTGTACCATATCAACCTCCGCCCTTGTTACCATGACTCGAATCAATGTTCTATCATCTGTACCAGCACCCTGTAATAGTCAACATTCTTAGCATTAATTCTCATCAGATATATGCTCATTCATAGTGCTGTTAAAAAGTATTGTTTATTTATCTATATTTTGAACCATTTGGATATAAATATTTTCAATGGATGTGTCCATCTTTCAATCTGGACAAAACAATCACCATCTATATTATTTTTTGTTTTTATTTCATTTTTATGTTGCACCAACAGTGTAGGTCATATGGTGACTTTCAAGCTTTACTGGTGGAGGAAAACCTCAGGTGCCTGATTACCCCTCAGTGCATAATTTCTGTCACAAACTTCACTTCAGTAGAACCAATGATGTTCAATAAGCTAGCCAGATGAAAGATTGGGTTTAAGTCAACGACCTTAACCACTGAGCAACTGACGCCCCTCATCATCTTTAGGGAAATTTCAAAATAACTACATGTACTGAGCAGCATAGGTCCAACTTTAAAATGTAAGTTACCTGAAAACCCTAAAGTGAGAATTACTTTAATGGTTATACAGTCAACTATCGTTATCTCGACATCGCTTTTCTCGATATTTCGTTATCTCGATGAAATTTTGAAAGTCCCGATTTTCTTCCTTCTTTATCTATATTGGAAATATTTGTTTATATCGATATTTTTATTTCGATATTTTCAGTATCTCGATGTACAATTTCAGCCCCGACAGTTATTTTCACACTATTATCCTTTGTTTATCTCGAGTAATAGTTTTCTTTCGTCTGTGCCATAATGATGATTATGTTTTTAAGATGTTTAGCTGTTTTTATCTGTTTTAATCTATTTAGTGTGTTGATTGACTTATGTCCAAAATGAGTGAATATTACGTTCTTTATAAATGTTCGAACACTGTATCAATTCATTATGACTTTAAATGTAAATGAAAAAGTGAAAGTATAGAAACACTATCGTTGCAATATTGTTTCACAACATCCCCTCCAAATCAATCAGCGGTCGAACAACATCGAGAAAGACCCGATAAATAACCCGGGAGGATATTTGGATCAACCACCCTGAAAACAATGTTTTCACTATTAGTGTATTACTGAGTAAACCTCACTATGTGTTTTTATCACAGAAACTGGTATTTTCGCTGGTAAACATCCGCTAATGTTACTTTGTTAAATATTGACTAGGCCTATGAAAACAAGACATGGGGATGGGAGACGCTCAAAATCCCCTTGATCATAATCCCCTTGGTTGATAAACGACATAGTGATCGAAATCCCCTCAACAGAAATGACAGGGTTATCATAATCCCCTTGGCAAAAATAAAGGGGTGGTCATAATCCCCTCAGTGGGTAGTCAAAATCCCCTCAAATAATGTGAAATGGTTGGGAAATTTCTTTTCTTATTTTTCTTTTTAGTTCAATGAATTTAAGAACCAACTGCTTCAAGAATTGCTGAAAAAAAAGAGAAAAGCATACAAACAATTAAAAGGTGTATGTTTGTCACAGCCAGTTAATAATGACACCCTTTATTGATGTTATTATTGCTGAGAAAATTGTAAAATACAAACAAATAAATGATAGTTGATTATAATTAATCATTGCAATTATAGTTATATGTAACAAACAATCAATTAATCTTTGCAATGATAAACACCTATGTAAATTCTGTGAATGTGCTAACATATGTAAAATGTGCTGTCAGAAAATAAATAAGAGTGAAATATTATGTCTGGTTTTATATTTTATATTAACATGAAAATGACAACATTGGAGTATTTAAAAATAACCTGTATTATATTGCTAAAGTATACTCCATACTCTTTCCTCTACTCAATGTAACTGCTGTTTGCAACATTTCTTTATGTAACACAATAGTTTAGCTGGAGTGACAAAAGATCAAAGGAAAAAGAATATTGAGTAAAGGGGGTTGTTTTTCACAAGTTGAGGGGATTTTGACCACCCCATCATTTTTGCCAAGGGGATTTTGACTATCCATCAAGGGGATTATGAACACCCGGTCATTTCTGTTGAGGGGATTTCGATCACTATGTCATTTTTCAACCAAGGGGATTATGATCAAGGGGATTTTGATATAGTTCATTTGACATAAGGTATGCACAGTCATGTCCTTTGTAAAAATCAGTTTCTGCCTTATTCAAACCCTAATATGTTTATCTCGACATTTCGTTATCTCGATATTTTTTGGACGGTCCCGATGACTTCGAGATAATGAGAGTCAACTGTATATAGAAAAAGAATGCTTTGAAGTGTATTAAAACCTGAAATTTAAGGCAAATGCCTAAAAATTATTTTACCTGAAAACTTGTACACATGGAAAATTGCAGACCATAATCAGATGACAATTATCTATTACAAAAACTTTTCTATCTCCAACGTTTCCAGGGGTTAAACTAATCTTTTTCAAGAAGTTTCTGTTTATTTTTACAAATCACATATTTATCTTCTATTATGTCTTATCTTACACTATGTTATGTATACAGAAATGACGTCGTTGACGACACCCAATCATAATCAGATGGCACAGATGTGCCAGTTGATCTTAATTTGCACTGGAAGCATGAGTAATTTTAGTTGCTGACCACAGGTAAAGTACATGTACCAGACTTTGAAACATTTTACTTTCGTCTTTAAGAAATACATATATATTAATGCTGTGAAAAAAGAGACAAAACAATATCTTATTGTACAAACCTTCATGGATCTGTATAATTTTTCTGCAAAGTATCCTGGCTTGTTTCGGACACATTTAACTGTAAGAAAAAGAAAAGTTGGCGCATATTCAAAATGTTTTAAACAATAGCAAACTTAATCAAATAAAGTTAGTGGAAAAATGACTTGTTTTATAACAAACTTCTTTCAGTAGTTGCTAATTAGAACTATTATAAAACCTATAATGCAGTTAAGCATGAGCAATAAAGAATGCTTATTACCCTAGTTTTATTGCTCAAACTGTTGTCTTTGTTCTTGTTAGCTAGAACTCTATTCCCGAATTATCTTTCATTGTACTGCACATTTGTTAATGTTTATTTCCATAAAATAGTACAGAAACTTATAATATTTACATACTTTGCTATTGTAAATTTATAAAGTAATTTCATTTCTTCCCCAGCATTGTGCTGTATAATAACAGTATCATAAATTTTTGACAAGTTATATGGCTGTGTATTATATAAACGGTTGTTTGTATTATAACCCTCACCTTAGTGTCACATAACTGAATGATACTTATAATATACTTAAACTGACCAATGACTGATTATTGGATAATTTCCTACAACTTTTCATAAAATAAAAAATAAATATACTCACTAATAGCCAGCATTCCAATTTCCAGGTTACCAGACATTTCACTCTTTATAACCTTTTCTATGTCTCGGCCGGAGATTCTTGAGTATGCATCAAATACAGCCCTCAGCTGCTCGTAACTTTGGGACGCCATAATTATATTAAACTGTGACTCGTCCGTACCCCATCTCTTCTCTCCAGCTTGATATAGGGCCTGTTGAAATATAATTGTTTTTATTCCATTTCATATTATTGTCAAGTACAAAGTTTAATCATTTTTTTTCTTCTAAAATTTGGCAATTTTCCAGCTTTTATTAACACTTTACCAAAATTGACAAGATTCTCCTTCAAACAGTTATAGCTGACTTAGTCTGGCTCAATGTACATTATCCCATAAATAGACCGGCACCTTCACACAATTGGTAACTATTGCAAGGAGGTTGAACCTAACTAAGTACATTAGTACATTGTATATGTCACATAGTTCATAGGGAGCGAGCCTAAGAAAATAGATGCCTCTATCATTTCTCTAACATTCCGAATGATCCTCTTAGCCTATTGTCGAATATGAAAGTATTCATAGCCTTTTTTCTACCAATAGATAGTTCCCCGATCTTTACCTCCCTTGCCAAAAGTGACAGTGATTTTTGGGGGTCAATTTTCTATATCATATACTTGACAAAATATGACAAAAATAATATAAACAGCTGATTCATATTAATTGTCAGATTCTTTTATACATATGCAGAAAATAATTTTTATCAGTTTTCATGAAAATGATAGAATTATGAGAGATTCTTATCTTAAGCATATGATATTTCGGAAAAGATCCCCGGAATGATTGCCATGGGAGGTAATAATTTGCTGTGTGTAAAGCATCTACATGTATATCATCTTTACCAAGATTGATTACATTCTCAATGATAACTTGTCAACAAAATATGTCCTAAAATTATTTTTTGATTGATTTGTAGGTTTTACCATCAGTTTAACAGTAGTTCAGTAAAACATGTAAAACAGTAATATATGACAAGCAGTTAGTGTTTTCTGACTCTGTGCCAGCATTAATCTGTTATTAATTGCAAACTTATCTATGCAATCATAATTATTAAATTATTAGAAATTGCAATGGAGACTAAATAGCATCAGACATTTTGTCAGTGAAAATGTCACAGAAAATTATTGTGACACAGAAAATACATGTAATATTTCTAGCATATAAAACCAACAAAATAAAATTATGGAGACTCAATACTGAAACTTATCCTAAAGACTTTATTCAAATGTCATAAAATGTCAAAGGCCTCCATCTTTATATAGTCTTTATAGAATCTGCTGGTCAAAATACAAAATTTCTACAATTGACCTGCATAAGAAACTGCCTTAGCAACATTATTTAAAATTCACACATATTTTATGCATTTATCTTGGCTTAAAAATTTAGATTCAATATTTCAATATGCAAACTGATGATTTTATATAGAGAGATAGAGAAGATTACGTACTTGAGCATCAGAATTAGCTTTGTTCATGTCTACAGCCTGGTTCTCCATTCTTCCACCCTAAATAAATAAAATAACACATACTACAGGTATATATGATGTAAAATTGTCTGTACATATCTATCATACCATTTATTTCTATGTAATTCATTTATTGTTGAATTGAAATATGAAAAAGAATTAAAATAGTTTATGTGTTTAAACACTGACAAGCCAATTCATATATTCATTTTTCCTCTTTACTTGAGGCTGGAAGAGGAGGGGGAGATGGTGGTTAATGTCATACAACAACTTTTCAACAACTTGGTGGAGATGGACATCAAGCGGCCTTTCGACCCTTATTTTAGGCATAAGCAAGCACCCGAGTAGAACCACTAACCTACTGTGAGTTAGCTTGATAGTTTTCTCACATGAAACAATCTGATGTCACCAGTGAGAATCAAACCTACAGTGGTTGACAGGCAAATTAATCAAAGTAACACATAATGAAAATTAAACTAAAGAGACTTCAGATCCTATTCTGGTAATATATAATAAAACATGTTTATTTATACACTTACATTTGCCATGGAGACCATGAGTCGTTTGAAATGACCTGATGTATCACTAATAATGTCTTTTTCTAATTTCTGCCTGTACACTGAAATAATAACATTACAAAATCCAGATAACAATTTATGAAACATAATAAACATCAATGTCTGATATACAGCCAAATTTATGTTAAACACCATCTTTAACCCTTACCTAACCCAATATCTTTAATGGACTTGTCCATCTTTCAATCTGGACAAGTACATTCATAATGAAAAATGAACAAGTACATTCATTTTTATGGGAAATTTTCAAATCATGAACAAACAGTGCAGACCAAAATCAGATGGCACAGTTATGCTGGTTAACCTTGGTTTATACTTGTTGCATGGGGTAGATTCTGTAGCAGCCAGCAGACTAAGAGTTACAGGAAGAAGTATCTGTAGTAAATATGGCATGAATCGTTGCCAACATTTTAGTGAGTTTTTTTTTTAATGAATTGTTCAGGATTACCTTTTTCAGAAACACTTTCTTTCAATAAAGCTTTTTAAGTTATCAACTTCCATAGTAAAGTAAAACAATAAAATAACAACAATGTTGCCATTCATTAGGAGATATTATTCACATTTGAAAGCCAATCTGGATGTCCTTGATATTTTACTAGACTAAATGTACTAACAGTAAATTGCATTATTTTGATCCTACAATCCCTTAAACTAATAATGGATAGTTCAAAATCAACACTGGACTAGTTCATTATACAAAATTAGCATAAGAAAGGTTAATTTATACGAAATTTTTTCTAGATTGATTGTGTAATAAGCTATATATACGCTTATTGAAACACTCACAAATCCGTTCCTGGAACCAATCAGTACTTAGCAATAAGTGTAAAGTGTCTTGCTCACTGAAGCAACCACTTGCCCCTGACTGGGTTGAAACCCACATGGCCAGCAATCCTTAGATTACTATTCTGTTGTGTTAACCACCCGGCCATGCTTCCACTTACAGAATAGGAAGATAAAAAGAGATTACACAGGTACAATCGCACTTACTTCTTTGGTATGCTTCATTGATTCTCTGTATTTGTGCATTACTTCTAGAACACAAAATCTCAATCATAGCATCTTCATCTGTACCAATACCCTGAAAATATATATCATTTATATATACATATTTGTGTATCCAGAATGAATGGTTCTTAATGGGTACCTCTGGGATTTGGTTATTCTGTTTCAAAATAGATGTATGATTTAAAATAGAATATTACATAAAGTTTTAATATTACTTCATGACTTTTAATGAGGTTGGAATCATGACCCCATTTTTTTTGAAAACTGATCAAATGTCAAATCACCTCTGCATTACCCCTTGTTGACATTTGGTTCTTCTTCTGGTAACTAAATCCTGGATCATGTGTGCAAATAGGTTACTATTTCCAGTGAACTTTCCTTCAGTCAGACAATTTATTTTTTAAGAGAATTTGTTCACTGTTTCAGTTGGTTGTTAGAGTGAAAACCAACAGTAATTCTTTGTAGACTTATCAACATTTATGTTAGCGGGTAATAACTCTAGTTGATATTTTGAAAGAGCAACAGCTAATTGGCTTTAATTTGCAGTCAAGACAACTTAACAAATGAACTTTTAGTTTTAGGTTACAATCACACTGTTAAGGTCAGAGCTATGATGAGATTTCATCTTAAATATTGGAGGGGCACTTAAAGTAAAGTGCCCTTATTATACATGTACATTAATTCTGACAATGTAGGGCTTAAAGTAGAACTACTGATCTCTTTAAAGTAAAGAGGACAGCTTTCATACTGGAAATAAAAAAAATTCAAACTTGTAACAGTTAAGAGTTCAAGTAATTGTAAGTCAATGACCATAACAATTGCACCGGAGAGGCCTATTTCAATACTTTAAACTGCATGCCTCCAGATGAGCCAAAATATTTCAAGAAAAATTAAATTTGAGAAAATTCTGCTGACATGTTAAGGAACGAAGAATGTTTCAAGATTCATTTTCTTTTTTTTTAAATTGCGTTTATTTAAGGTCGCCGGCAAAAAGCCCATATGGGCGACCGTACACTCAAGTCGGGCCATCCTAGAGCTTCCCGCCGAGATTTTTTGTCGATTTTTTCCAGCTTTATTGGTGGAGGAAGACCCCAGGTGCCCCTCCAGGCATTATTTCAGGCACGATCGGGCACCTGGGTAGAACCACCGACCTTCCTTAAGCCAGCTGAATGGCTTCCTCACATGAAAGATTTCGACCCGAGTGAGGATCGAACCTACAGCGGTGAGGGACCTGTGATCTCAAGTCAGCGACCTTAACCACTCGGCTATGGAGGCCCCCTCAAGATTCAAATAATGATTTACATGTTATACGCGATTAAGGGCTGATTAAAGCGGTATCTATCACCATATTTCTACTGTGTTACGTACGTAGTAAGGGCTAATTTTGCTTATTTAGAACTCTTTTTTTGGTAATTTATGTAGATTGAAAGAGCTGTTTGCAATGTGTAAATTATTTTCTTTGTTCACTTGACAATATTTTACTTTTAAAATTTTTTTAAAAACTTTCATGAAAATTAGCATGAATCTGGAGGCATGCTGCTTTAAAGGAATCTAAATTAAATGTTTCTTACTATCACTTACCCTCATTGCTCTCTTGAGTTCATAGGCATCAAATTCTTCAGGTGTCATCATTAAACCAATTATAACATCCTCAAACTTTCCACCTAACTCACTCTTTAATTCTTGAATCAAATCCTATGATAAAATATGATAGTTGAGAAATATGTCAGAACAGCTAGTGATATTTACTTAAAGTTACATTTAGCAATTAATACATAGATGATGTATGTATATTCTATATTTTCCTTTATGCTGAATAAGGCATTAAAAAAGCTAAAAACATATTAATTTCATCCACTCAACAAAACTATTTAATCCATAAGGCTCAAGTTGACTCCAACATTCAGTATACTGTGAAAATGCTTACATGTGTGTAGACATTAATAACACAATGTAATAATCAAATCAAAACTCCACTCAACTGTTATGTTTAATAAAAACTACTTTTAGTTCAGTAGATCAGTAGTTTTAATGCCAGACAAAACTACCCCAGACATACAAAATCCATATAGTTTCATATTTTCAAATTTTACAAAATCCATTCAGTTTCATATTTTCAAATCTTCTTTTATATGATCAATATGCAAAAGATAAATCTAATATTTTACCTTTCCAAAGCAAGTTTTAAACATTTTTTTAATATCCTGTCTCTGACTATTTGTTCTATAAGCCAATATGTCAATGATGGCCTTCTCATCAGTGCCTGAAAATATGCAGAAATATGTGAATGCATATGTGTATATTGTGAAATGTGTAAGTTCAGTAACCCATAAAGGTGGCTTAATGGTATCTAAAATATGTATAGTTTTGAGTAGACATTTTAAAATGATTGTCTTCATTCTTGCATGGTTATAGATGATAATAATTATATATAATTGCAAAGTACTGTAAACAGACCGACATTTAATGTCAGTAGCAAATTTACTTGGAAAAGCAAGCCACTATACCCTTGACTGTATCTGAACATTACTGTTGTCATATTAGCAAAACTTGAACCAAACTAATCTACTTCAATTGACTTACTCCGGAATTAAGAAAATTTTGCATTTTCCCAGCTAATCTGTAGGTGTAACAAGCTAATAGAGTTCGAAAATAAGCATAAAAGGTTGACCTGGAAGTCCATCATGAAGTGATAATAGTTAAAGTTTGTACCTATGGATTAGCTGGGGAAAACCCATACTTGCTGAGTTCCGGATAACATGTATTTAAAGCCTTGTTCCAATCCTTACTTCATACATTAAAATATAACTAGATATGTTTAGACAATTTTCAATATTAAACCCTAAGCCCTACTGGAGGTAAATGATTCTACACATGTAACCAGTGACAAACCAAGATTAACTGTCTGATTATGATCTGCACTATTCATTATTCAGTCACCACATACCAGTATTTTGAAGAAAAAAAAAAGACCTACAGCTGATAATTATTCTCAAGGGCATGTCTCTATTTCTACATTCAATGCATTCTGCATAAATAAGTTAATTACAGTTTACTATTTTACCTAATTCACCTAATTAAGGCTAAATTATTCATAAGTTTTGCAACATTAACATGCAGCTTGATAAATTAACTACAATTCAGACATATCAACTAAGCTATTAGTGAAAGTTTAACTAATGAGTTACACTAATTACTTATATTTAGGCCTCTTAAAAAAAGTACTTGTTTTCAGTCTCCCAACACAACTTTACCAATATAAGTAGTCCAGTCAGATCAACACATTAAAATACTAAATACACTTTATCTCATAATTTGTATGATAAGCAAAATTTTCAGATCACCCTAAAACATATTTTTCTGATAATAGTAAATACTTTTTTGAAATTTACATCATATTGCAATATATTATATATATATGATATAATTGGCTTAAACTGCAATTAAATAAAAGTGGATTAAAAGTTGCACCATTCTCTTTCAATTCTGCAATAAGATACTGCCAGATAGATGTCCTTACTTTTATTCATGGAAATGTTATTTTCATTGAAATTTAGTGGGTACACACTAAACACATGTTTAACAACTTTTGTCTAAAATTACTCTATAAACATCTACTCGTAAAAAAGCAGCAATCTGGTATTTTACTATCCTAATAAAAATTGTTAGGTAGCTGTACAGTTGTTGTTTTTAAATCAAACACATATAGTTATCTACAATATACAGTAAATAGGTACATTTTCATACCAAAAGTAGTTTGTTTTTTTAACTCTTTTTTATTTTTGTAACTTAAAAAAACAACATCTTTTTATTCAATTACTCTGTTCTATTCAAATTTGATTTGATTTTTAAAATTGCTGCTTGATCATGGTCTGCAAAGTTCCCAAGTCAGTCAGTAGTTATTTTAAAATTTCCCCTAACAATGATGAATGGTTTTGTCCACACTGAAAGATGGACAAGTCCATTTAAGATATTTAGTGGGGTCAGTGTTTAAGTGATAATGTAAAAACCCTAACAAGAACAGTAAGCTCTACCAAAGGATCATCATTACCTCCCCTTAATGCTTTGAACAAATTTGAGAATAAAAACGACCAGCCAGTCTTGTCACTAAAGACCACAAAACATTCCATGTATAAATTAACCCATATACCACACTAAACATCTCAAATAGACTTGTCCATCTCCCAATCATGACAAAATCATTTTATGGCTTTTAGAAAATTTCAAAGTAAGTACTAACTGAGAAATAGTACAGACCATAATCAGACAGTATGGATGTTCTGCCTGATCTTCGTCTGCACACGCCACCCAGGTAAAATCAGTTTCCTCCAGCAGACTAAGCAGAGCAGAGACCCACATGGAATATTGGGAAACCAAATGTGTAGTCTCGATAAATAAAGCCTTAACTTACCTACTTACCTGCCTACTTACCTACTCTACTTCAATCTAATTACTTACTTACTTAGGACTAAACATTCCCTGTTAACACATCATTGAAAATATTTTTCATTTCACTCACACATAAAATACTGATCTTCAAAGGTTAAAAAAAAAGATAATTTTTTTAAAAAAAATGTGTATATAAATAAATGTTACTCACCAAAACCTTTCATAGCTTTTCTTAGAATCTTTGCATCATTTTCAGCATTGAAATTAGCTGCTGGTCTCAAGGTGCCATCTTCCTGTGAAAAAATGTAAAAACAATCATATAAGATTGACAAAAGTAATCAATGTATTAATATAATACTCTTACATCTCATCATATAGCTAAGATGAAGATTCTGATCCAAAGAAACTTCTGACAAAACAATTATCAAGACACCATAATAAATTGGCAATAAATTTATCAAAAGAAAAGTTATCACTACCACAAATCATGATAAAGCAAAAGAATTTGGACAACATAGGTTACGATAAGCACCCAATATCCATTTCTGTGGAGTAGTATAAAAATTATACATGCAGTTTTAGACAAAGATTTTTAAAATACTAGTATTCTGTATTATACATGTACATAAAAGAAATAAAAAATAGACTCTTTAGAAGCAATGTTTTTATGACAAAACCAAATAATCGAACAACATTGGTAGATGGTCATCAAATGACTATTTCTGTAAAAATACTTTCAAATCTGACCAACAGATTTTTCACTAGATCATTGTCACATATTATTCAGACAGACAATAGATGATCATAATATCTCACCCTGAGCATGATGATCTGAATACTTACCCTAACTCTATAGCCAGTGTTTGCCCCTCCCTGGCCTAGGGCTGTTACGTTATGTCCTTGAGCAACATTTCCAGCATAATGCATACCTCCTGGTGCTGATGCCGGAGCTCCTGACTGGCCTTGTCCATAACCCCCATACCCAGCAGATGGAGCCTGGCCTGGTGCCTGGCCTGGTGCTTGTCCTGGGTAACCTGGTGCACCAGCTTGCTGGTACCCCGGTGCACCACCAGCCTGGGGATATCCTGGAGCGCCTCCTGCTTGTGGGTAACCAGGGGCACCACCTCCCTGTGGGTAGCCCGGTGCACCACCTCCCTGTGGGTAGCCTGGTGCACCACCACCTGGTGCTGGATAACCCTGACCTCCTGCTGGGTTGTACCCTGGCTGAGGGGCTGGTGTGTTGTAGGCAGGATTTTGTCCATAACCCACGTTTTGCTGAAATTAGTAGTAATTGTTATTAGTCTTTGCTGCAAGCAATGAACAACATGACTGAACTAAACTAGGGCTTTATTGCATGGCATTATAAGGTCATGGAATGAAAAATTATGATCTTAGTGTAAACAAGAAATAATACATACAAAAAACAAGTATATTATTAAATCAAACTAATTACTTATTACTGTTTGCCTCACATTTTTGCATTTTTTAAACATGATATATGTATTTTGTTCTTTTCTTGTTTTGTTATTATTTCAGCAATTTAAACAGTTAAACTACATTTGTTAATAAAATATATGTTCCTATAAACCTGGTATGTTGGTTGCCCTGCTCCAGGGCCTGCTGGCATAGCAACACCAGGGGGTTGTGGATATCCTGGCTGTGGAGGTCCAGCTGGCATCTACAAAAATAAAGTAAGTATCTCATGTTCACTAGAAACAAAGTTACATATTATTTATATCTATTCTTTAATACATTGTATCAAAATTATAAATAGAACAACTGACCTCAGAGGGATAAAGATATCTCACAACATCAAAATGCTTAAACTTGTATTACGATTATTATTTAGCATCTCACATGGTTCTCCCCCATTATTACACAATTGCTGTGGATGCCATCAAGTTTTCCCCAATTATTACACAACTGCTATGGACACAAACATGTGACACAACTGCTATGGACTCCAACATGGTTTCCCCCATTATTACACAACTGCTTAAAATAGATTCCAACATGTGTCCCCCTTATTACACAATATGGACTCCAACATGGTTTCCCCCATTATTACACAACTGCTATGGACTAAAATATGTGTCACCCTTATTACACAACTGCTTTAGACTCAAACATGGTTCCCCCCATATTACACAACTGTTATGGACTCCAACATGTTTTCCCCCATTATCATTAAACTGCTATGGACTCCATCATGGTTTTTTCTCCACACCAGTATGTACATGACTGCTACTCTCATGATGTTAGAATTAATATAGTATAAAAGTTTTGTATAGCTTCATACTTCACCATACATGTACATCATAAATACATGTATGCATTTTTTTTTTATTTTTTTATTTTTTTACTTATTACTTTTTTTTTTTTTTTTTTTTTGGGTTAGGGTTTACTTCCCAACAACAGGTTGTTAGCAACTTTCTAACTTTACAGGTGGAGAAATTCTCAAGTGCCCCTGCGTGCATTATTTCAGGCATGAATGAGCACCTGAGTAGAACCACTGACATGTCAACAATTGTAGTTATTTATGTGAAAAATATAACTTTATATTCTAATTGATGTAAAAGAAATTATCTTACCCCAAATCCTATGCCACCAGGTTGTCCACCAGGTGGCGCTGTGCCATATGGCATACCACCAGGCTGGGAACCATAGGCAGCAGCAGACGCTGACTCAGGTGTCGGCATGCCAACCTAGAAATAATGAATTATGCACAAACATTAAAAATTGTAGTTTAAAAAAATAACAACACAATGCTTATTATAAGTTTTACAGGTATTGTTTTTAAATAGGCATCTTATAAAAGCACATGTTAACTATTTAATAAAATTTGGTTAAAAGTTGTGTCTAAGACAGACAGAATACAGCATTATAGCTCAATCAGTAATTTTTCTCACTTAATTGGGAAGAGGCCTTAACCTCTGATTTTGGGGAAAATTTTGCTGAAATTGCTAATTTGGGAAATAAAAAAGCAGGTTTAAGTTAAGATTTTTGGGAAAACTGCATGATTTTAAAGAAAATTTCAATTCGGAAGAGGCCCTTTATCAAAGTCTGTTATATCAGTAGAAAAATCACTGTTATTGCAAAATTTAATGAAGATTAAAAAGTTGATTTTTTTACATAGAAAAAATATTTCGACATGAACAATGCACTATTAGTTATCTTAAATGTGTCAAAATATCCAACAATAGCCCTTGCTCTGTTAGTAATGGGATGGAAAACTGTTGAGAAAAATCAGTCATATTTTATTACGTGCTGTTTAACCTTTGATTGTGAATATTTATGAATTAGGTTTAATTAAGTTTTAAGATTTCTAAAACGTTTATCTGCTGGAGACTAATGATAGCCTGGTTAGCCTTCTGTGTCGTCTTCCCTGGCTGTCTATACTGTTGGTAGTTTAATTTTTGTATTTAGATACTACTAGTATAATATATTAAGTTTTGAATGGGCTATTATTAATCTAAAGCTTGACAAATTCAGCAGGTGAAGAGTCAAAGCTAATTCACCCATCTGGAAAAATGCAGCTTTATCCATGTATAATAGGTTAAATATTTAGTACTTAAAATGTTGATGAAAGTAAAACAAAGAAAGTGTCTCTGATAAAAAGGTGGACCTAACATAAAAATTTTACTTCAGTTGCAAATTCATAAGCATCTACTACCTTTGAAAGTAATTTAAAGTAGAAATGCATCTAAGCATTAATTTACTTCTGATAATAATAACATAATGGAGTCGATGCTACTGGAACAGTCGGGATAGATATCAGATGTCCAGTGATAAAAAGGGAAATTCCCAATCACAGAATCTACATGTATCATACCTCACAATTACTGAATGCTAAAATAATGGTCAGCAAGCATCAGGGTAACTACAGCTGACTTTCTAAGAGGATAAATGTTGGTATAATTAAGGATGTACACAAATCTACATTTTCAGGACATACAATTTACATATAAATAGCTCTCTTAGTGTACATGTATATACATCAAAGATACAACAAGGAAATTAAGGTAGTACACCCCTAATGGGCACTATAAGGAACTGTAAAATTGACAACATAGGACAGTTATATGCCTTAAATGTCACCTGTATACAAAATTTAAACAAAATTTACCGTGTGGTTTATGAGTTATGGACATTTTTCTGAACTAAAACTTTGCCATTAGAAGGGCTTTTTTCAGAAATGAGGAAACTCTTAATAATTTATAATATCATCATTATGAAAAATGTTTTCCTATTGCTCATTGTTAAGAAACAAAGAATGATATTTAGGTAACAAATTAAACAAGCAAAATTATTGTTTTTAAACGAAATGTTTTTAATATGTATAAAAATGTAACCCTACCCCACCCACTTTTAACACTTATTTGACCATTTCCATAAGTACATTGTAAAAAGCCTTTTTTTAAATATCCCTAAAATTTTCCACAATAAGGGGCAGTTTTCAAAGTTTGCATAAATTTTTTTAAATGTATTTTGGTTGGTCTTGCAAAATATAAAATACTTTTACCGTGTAGTTTTTACTTTATTAAAGTTTGAAAATATCTGGTATCATAATTGCTATTAAATTTGGCATTATTTTGTAAATAAATACCTACAAAAATTATATAATTAAAATGAAACACTTTTTTCTTCCATTAGGGATCTGAGAGACTAATAAAAAATGTTAAAAAGAAAAAAAAGAAAGAAAAAAAAAGTTGCCCCTTGAACCCACGCCCCTCAGTTTCAATACACTTTACAGTGATTTTAATTCTAGCCTATTTGAATACTCTTCAAAGTGGAGGTAGTGCATTAGGGGTGTACTACCTTAAGTAATGAATACATAAAAGAGAGAATAAGTACAGGGACAAGTATACTGGAAGAAATATTCCTTATTAGTGTTAAAAGAATTTTTATAATAATCATTTATAATAATCATTTTATATATGGTTAATGTAGAAACATGAGAAAAGGTGAAAGTTGTAAATAAATAAGCTTCCATTTGTAGATTAATTCATGATATGGTAATTCATGATATGTAACTAGGAAAAGCTGCACATATGTTTGGGTCCTGAGTCTGGCATATATTACTCCTCTTGTCAAATTAGTTTGTAAAAATGTGCCTAAAAGCTTAAATATATGTACCTAGTTTAAAGATAACAAAGTGTTTTATTTATATGGAAAAGTTGGCAATTGGTTGCAGGAAAATTAGTACTGGTCATAAAATTCCAGGAACACTTTTAGATAATTGCTTGTCCGACTGTAACTGAACTGAGTGTTAAACCCAAACAAACCATTAAATACACACAGTAATCTCTGTATATTTCTCCATACAAAATTCAATACCAAATATGACATCAAACAATGCATGAACAATGAATTAACAGATAGCACTCGGGAATTCTGTCATTCAAATGGCACTTGGAATTGTATCAATTTTATTATGTAAGCCTTGAAACACTTCATAATTATAATCAATACCTCTGTAGTCTTAATATCAATCGGGACAATGATATAGGGGGTGCAATTAAATTATTATACTTGATTATAAATCTACAGGCTTTGATCAATAATAAAAACTTATAATTATTAAGAAATATACCAGTACAAACTGAAATAGAGGGTTTTTGGGACAGAAAAAAAAAACAACATTTTACACCAACAGAGAGTAAATTATGAGTTTTGTATACATAGTGGCCTTGAGGCAGGAATGGGGGGACTGGTAATCATACAAATATAGGTAAGCTAATGATATAAATAGAGTTATAAACATACCCCAGGTTGTGGTGCACCATAACCTTGCTGGGGGTAACCACCACCAGGTTGGGGATAGCCCTGATTCGGGTATCCCGGCTGACCTTGACCTGGATAACCTCCGCCTCCACCGTAGGGATAACTCATTCTGTATATTTATGTATATCTGAAACATTTAAATTAATATTGTAGGAAATATTTACATGTAAACAATATGATCAATTTGTCTGTAAATCTAGGCAGATTTTTTCTCTCTTATGGGACCATTATAGTCTGCCCAGATATACACTGCCAAAACAAAGGAATGAATAATATTGAATAAATCGATGGTATATCTGCCCAATTCTACAGATCATTTCAACACATGAACAATTTTTTATTGGCACAGACATCTACTAAATAGAACCAAAAAGCTTCAGTGTGCTTCATTAAGTATGTAATAAGTACTCTTTTTTACACTTTTTTTTTGAATAACTGGAAAACATTCTGAGATAAATGTCACTATATTCATACATTGCTCAGTATTGGATTTATTTTTGTCCTATATAAAGTATAAAAAAGAGAAATAAAGAAATATGGTATCCATAAATTATTAATTCTATCCAACTTTACTATATATTTCAAATCAAAACCAAACATCCAAATTAAGGTTCTGAGCATAAATATTTTTATGACTATTTTCCTCATATCACATGATTTGACAGTGTAAACCTTCTATCATATGTTACATACAATAAAGGTGTTTTTATATACATGTACACTACTACAGCTTCTGCCACATATTTTAAAAATAATCAACCCTATATTTACATTAAACCACAAATAAACAGAAGCCTGTTTTTAGATAAATCAATGATACTACAGTCACAAATCAAGTTTTAACTTATAAAGTATTTACTCTATTTCAATGAGTGTGTTTATTGAGAAAATAATGTTGAAAATTTATTGATTATCAATAACTATTTCCCAAACGTAAAATTTCATGAACAGGGTCGCTTTGGCACAATTAGTAGCTATATAGTTATCAAAAAGATGACTGAAATAAAATGACTTTTGACACAGTTGGTAATGTCAAGTGTTTTTTTAAACTGACATGACCTTGAACAAAAGGACATGACCTTGAACAAATAAGGAAGCCATCAGACAGTCTTAATTGCTCAAATTGTACAAGGTTAAGCTTGACTATAGTGACCTAAATCCTCTACTTTGTTTAGAGTTATATGCAAAATGCTCTACAAACTAAATATCTAAGATAATGGTCACAAATCTTATTTAATGTTTACAAAGAACTATAAAAATATCTTTTGTACCTTTTTTGAAAATTGGACAAGTCCATTTACGATTTAGTGTTGTTCAACAACGTTGAATGAGTGATTAGACAAGTAATATTTGTGAAAGTTGGAGCAATGTCCTTTGATGTCCTAATGTACCTGGTCAGTAATCCACTGTATACCTGGTCAGTATTGACCCTTCATGTAAATGCACACTACCATTTGGTAAAACCTGTATATACCTGTACATAAATACTGTTTGTAACTGGTGATTTCATTGGTTGTACTGGATTGCTCACTTTATGTCAATATAGTGGGTCTGGCTGGGACTAACTAACCCAATGCTTAGTTAGGCATTAATAGTAGACCATTTTTGACATTGTATAAGAAAAGTGTTTTAATAATTATCACTGGCTAATACAATACAGTGTAATAATAAATTGATAATATCACATTTAATTGGCTGTCAAAGGCAGGATTCAGATGCTAACAACTTAAATGGCTGTCAAAGGGTTCAGGTGATAACAATTGTTTGGCTGTAGTTGATACATTATGCATGTCCAGTTTCAGTGATCGTCTTTGGAATCAGAGAGACCGAGCTTATGATGACGGGTTTGACAAGAGCAAAAATCGTTTCCTCACTATAGTGAGATAGGCCGGACTGTACCAATGCAGACTGTAGATCAAGAAAGGACAGATTGTGTTTTGGGACAGGGTGGACCTTGACTCTGAGTAGTTAATAAATACTTTATGTATGCTTGTTTTACCATTCATCATTTCATCTTTGAATATATTTGTTTCATTAAGGATGTAACGGTTTACCGGTATACTGATATATTGGAATATGAAAAAAAATAAATTTCGTACTGCGGTACGATTTTGGAAAACCGAGGTACTTTATAAAAATAATCATAATTTCAATTAATTGCCTTCTAATTTCGTACAAATTTCGCATAAAATCTTTAATTCGCGAATTTTATTAGCCGCCAACATAAAATAAAAAATATCCGACCCAGATGTGACTAGTTTTTTTTATCAAAATGAAATTGTGTGACACTTTACTTTCTATTTATTCCTTACATTTTTATTAAGTTTCTACTAAGAAATATACATATATGATAATAATATATAATGTTACTGCATCTTTACATCAAAACATATACACAACAATACGCATTGCAATATATTGCAGTATGCTTTCGACAAAATGGCAATATATTGCAATACGGGTTTTTGCCGTATTGTTACACCCCTAATAAAACATATAAAACATATAACAACAATTTGAATAGAATTTTTTAATAAATTCAACTTCATTAATAACTATTAACCCATAAATTTATGGCACTGAACTTAATTAATTGAACACCTTGCCTCAGCTTCTATTAAAAAAGACAACAATCGAGCTATCCAACATGATTGATGTTTATTTAAAGTTCTGTCCGATATATTTTATTGTCACAAGGTCCTCTCTGTCCCTGTAGTAGTCCAACTAATTAGACTTATCAAAGAGACACCGAGATAATTTTGGATGGGCTGTTTCCACGTAACTGTTTGACAGTTAGAAAAAAAAGTCTGTAAAATGAGTCATACCGTTCACTGCCCCAAATTTAATAAGGCTACTCTGTCCCTAAATCATAAGACTAAGAGAGAACCATTTGTCTAACTTCAATGTTCCATAGGCTCTGTCTCCATGAAAATTCGTGTTATAAATTTTAAAAATGAATCTTCTTACTGCATTATTTAATATGGGGAATTGAAAGGCCGGACTCTTGTCGGAAACTGAAAATCACTTGTAATAAAGCAGTATCCTGATCTGTCAACACTAGCTTAAGGTCTTCAGCGTACCGTTTATATACTATGACATGACGTGAACGCTGAAGATAACCCCATAGGGAAAGTCTACCAATAATCGTGCCAGGAATCTGACACGCTCGTATTTATTCATCATCCGAACATTGCCCCATTTGAAGTAAAGTGAAGCATACCTTGATTTTTAAAAATACTATATATAAATCTGTTGATAAGCCAAGGAATGGACAAATAAAAAATCTTATTACGAACATTAAACTACCTAATAGTTTCCGACAGGTTAAAAATTTCGGCACTTGGCCGCCATAATTGCCAAAATGTTTGATCACAGTGATTACGAGATTTGACCTTTCCGAACCCATGTGCCGTTCAATATTTTTATAATATTTACAATCGTATTAAAGTACTAAAAAATTAATGAAATATAAATTAAAAACTATTATCGTTGAAATAAAAGTATCGAAATCATGTCAACAAAATGTTCTAAATATATAGCTACACGAACTCTATTACAAAATCTGTTCCCCCCGCGAAAATGAACGATCCATTACGAGATCTCGTGCGTGGGCACACTGAATGTCATGGCCAACTGTAGTCGGTCGTTAAATTGATATTTACAGTTAAATAGGCAATTTTAATGACGGTATTAATATTTATGAATACTTTAATTGGTATAGAATTGATATTTTAAAGATGATTGTGTTATCGTAAAAATGCACAAGAATTGATTGGAGATCAAGATGTATTTTGCAAGTGAAAAAAACAAAGAATAAATCACACTTATGTTTCCCTATTCTGGTTAGGATTTCGTAACGGGTCTAATCCAAAACTTTAATGCCGCATCAGATGAAAAACAAAAATGTTAAAAAGCGGCTTATAAAGTTTTGGAAGCCAGAACTATGTCAACACCAAATTTATCCCCGTCTCTTCAAAGCTTCTTTAACAGTTTTAAAATTACTTTTCGCAATGATAAATTCAATATTAAATAGGTAGGAAAAAAGGTGTAATATACATACATCTTTTCTGTAGCAATTGCAAACTGTATTTCGAAATCGAGTTTCGAAATAATTTATCGAATAAACAATTTCAGGAAGTAGATTTTATCGTATAAACACAGTAGCTTCCCCTTGATTACCGTTCTAAATATCGAATTGTAATATTTTCGCGAACTGGTCAATTTCTCGTTCTGTATCAAAATGATTGATCGGAGCATGAATATTTTCACTGACCATTCAACCTGACCATCTTCTACTGTATATATTTTGATAAAAAGCCACGTTAATTTTCTTACAACGTACAAAAAATAGGTTTCCTGCCGGGCCGAACATTTTTGATGATTATAAAGATATTTCACTTAATACTATCCAAACATTTGTTTGTGTGGCGTGGATAAAAAAACGTTTGTCATCAGGTAGTATGTTTGACAATAAGTCATCAATATAACAGAAGAAAGGTCTTGGAAATGTGCTGACCCTATCGAATATCTTGTTAATGACCGGAGCAAGGTTCGAACATAAAACAATTATATTCTTTTTAAGAATATGATTAAATAGGTTCCCTACCATTTTATGAATTAATTCTCGAGCCCAAAAAAAAAAAAACAAAACCACACACATCAAGTTTTTCGCAGAAAACATTACTACTATTTTTATGTGCAGAAATGCAGCTATTTACTGAGCGAAGATAGATATTCATTTCATTATTAGACTATTTTGTAGATTTGTTTGTTTATCACTTATATGCTTTAGTTCACAAGTGCACACAATAGAAATTTATTGAATATTTTGGTTTAGCAACCATACTTTTATCTTGACCAGTGCATCAGAAATAATTTGTTGACAACTTACTCCGTTGTCACAGTTAGTACAAGAAAACTAAGTTAAATTATCAGCTTGAAATATTAGCAAAACAGCGCATTCCCATTTACAAGTATTTACCTCGTCCACCTTCATAATATGAGCCCTAAGGATAATTATTGAAAATCTGAAATATTGAAATATTAAATTTTATAATATTTGTTAATATTATTATTTAATATATACATTTAGAAATTTACAAACAAAATTACATATCATCTTAATTAGGAGATCATTGTTGTGATCATACATATAATTATTCAGGCAAATGTTCGTGCTTACATGATTTCTTTCATTGACAACATGAAAAAGCTTAATCTCTCTCGTATAGCTTCATGTACATACCCCGCTTTATTTCGATTACTACAGACGTGCATCCAGAAACCGATGTGCCCTAATCAACTTCTTGATATATTAATTGCTGTTTGATTAATGACCGGTAGGCCGAGGGCGCAATCTGAGGATTCACACTCTTTCAAATTTAATTTCAGAAGCGAAAGTTGTCCTTTATTCAACTCACCTCCTTACTCTAGATTTCTGGTGTTAGGTTTAACCACGAGGAAATATCCGTAACCGTACCGGCAAAAACGGTTATTTAGCCAGGTTTTCGAAAAGGTCAACCAAACATATATAACGCAGGGAATATCATTCATCGAAATCTTGGCGTTTTACATTTGTATCATCTTGTCGTTAAATTCCCTTTCCATAATCTTCATAAACAAGCGGTGTACACTGAAATGAAATGCAGGTATCACCAACGCTGACTGCCCCCCCTCCCCTCACTACTCGCACCTGCAAATAAGTTAATCACACACACTCTGGCGTCACGCTCAATACCATCAAAGACACCACAAGCTTACCCTTCCCCACACACCAAGAGCAAATGACAATGATGCTTCACAAACATGCATTAAACTTCGTTTGTGTGAATGTCTATGTCATGCAGATACTTCTCACGATTATGCTTTTAGTAAGATGTTTAAATCTTTTCAATACTAAAGCACTTATTAATATAATCTATGATATAAATGTTTGTTGCCAAAAACTTCATATTCATTTATAATCATTTCAAGAGATTAATTACTCCAACTTGAGATATATATTGTAGTTGAACCGGCGTTTAACACAGAAACTATGAACAGTACTATGCCCTGAGTTTGTCCAGTATTATTTACCCCTTCTTCTTAAACCTTGTATTATCAGACGACGCCTCCATAATATATATGCAAACCCCCACCCCCTTTATTATAGAACCCGCCTCAAACAGTTGTTCGAAAAATAATTGAGTGAATGAAAATATACATTGTATATTTTATCTCAAATGGTTTTTTTTTTCTCTATTTTTTATGATCATTTTTATTTTTAGGCCCCCATAGATGACTTATTAAATTCATCTTTTGTTTAACGTGTGTTTTTTCGTATTAAAGAAATGATTAGTACGCGTTAAAAAAAAGTTGAATCCCATTTCTTTTCTGAGAAGCCATCCCCATTAATCTCCATTTTTCAAATTAATCTGTTAATTTCATACATTGAACGCAGAGACATCAATCGAAGATATTTTAGTATAATTGAATGGCCATTTGTACAGTGCAGAAAGGAGGATGTACTCGCGTGGAAAACCAATCCTTTCTCATTCCTTGTTAGGGTGGGAGTGGTTGGTTTTGCCTGCAGTTGTTGGAAGGGGAGTCCTCCTCTTATCGTGTCCCAGAGAAAAAAACACTATAAATGGTGATAGGACACATTTTCAGCAAAGAAATGTATGCAATTTTTGTTTTTCAAGAGTTTTGCTCCCTTACTTTCTATTTTTGAGGTTGCTGACATAATTATAGTGGCATGCCTTTCCCAAAGTTCAAATCTCATTTAAGAAAATATATATATTTTATAAAGGTTTCTTTAATATTTATGGGAAAATTTAGAACATATGGAACAAAAGTTCGTAGGAACTTAGCCAATTATTTAAAGCGTCAGTGTGTAAAATTGTGCTTTAGATCTAATTTATCTTTTTAGGACTGTTGCTATTGTGAATGTTGCGTTGTCCTTTTCCAAAAACTTATTTTGTATGAACAACGTGGTAACCGACGCTGAGGCTTATCAGCGCCTATTTTATCCATTTCTTTCGTATACTCATTATTTCTTTGAGATATACGATTTGGCGAATTAAGTCATCTTAATTTATTAGATATACGATTTTATCGAATGTAGAAAATTTGTCTTGATAGGTGAAAAAACTAACAAATCGTACACACAAAAATATTATCAGTGCTTTGATTAAGGTTGTTGCATATATTATTTAATTTATGATCGTGCCTATCTCAACCCTCACCTATTTTATCCATTTAAAAGTTGTTTTGTTCGTCAGAATTGTTTTATACGCTAGCGTGTGACAACTTTTGAGCGGACTTGAAGTGAACATGAAGAACTGTTACAGAGCTTAATTATGTCTAGTTTCTCTTATATTAACACTAACCTAATGAAGGAAAATGACATTATAGAGAAAATGGGAGACAGTTCGATCCTGACGAGATCTAAAGGATGAGACAAAAATAAATATACAGAAACTAAATTAAATTGACGATGCGTGCTGAAAGGAAATAACATGGTATCGACATTATTCCAATGCATAATTAAGGTACAAGATAACCTACACAGAAAAAAAACCATCGTTGCTTATCACTTCTCCCACAAGTACGTTTAATCAGTTAGTTCAGTTTCAGTTTCTTATTACAACCTTTGACCACAATAGGCATATAATATACAACTGGATATAACAACAAACAAAACAGAAAAAAAATAAAAGTGGCTAATAAACGCCAAACTATTTATCACTCCATCACTATATTGTTTACATAATATATGGGTACTACTCTTTATATAGTGGTTTAACAATATCACTTTGCTCACATTGCATGAACTAGCTAGAATAAATAAAAAAAGGAGATCATAAAAATGTCTTCTCATTTCAAGTAGAAGGGCTGCCCCATTCGGAATCACAACATGTAGTATTTATATTTGTAACATGTAATTTGGACGGAGATATCAGAATAGTATTTAATATCTAAATAAATCTAACTAAATGCTTTTTTTACAAACAATAAAACGATAATCCGGTTTACGCTAGAATCTTTTTCCATCATCAACCCCAACCCGCACATATATCAGTTTAATTTTGATCAAGCCTACCTTTTACTTCACAAGACACATAATGTGGGTACCCCCTATTCGACATAGCGTCTAACACCCTCTGGCGGTAAGTAATGGAGAATTGTTACCCGTCATCAAAGAAAAAAACCATGAAATCTACATACTGATCACATTAATTAGGTATATGAACACTCAAATAACGTTAGTGTAATACAGAAACACCTTCTAGTGATCACCCCAATAGCTTGATGAATTACGTGTGCCATAGAAATTAAGGGACAACAGACCCCATTAAAATTAGTATGTGATTACTGTATCAATATTTTGGTGCCAAACTCGATCTTGCCTATTTACGTGTCTCACTAAAATTGGTTTACAATAGCGTGTACCATTGTATTACACTTGTTCTAAATTTTACAAAATCTTCTTCCTATGCTCAAAAAGGAATGTACTTATTACAATTTATTCATTTACCCAATATAGAAATTTTGGAATAGGTGATATAACCTTAACATAACGACATGTCGGAATAACTATATTTCACAGTTGAACTCTGGATGTACACTATATTTTAATGTCACCAGAAATTTTCATAGATTAGATTCTCCTACCATTAAGATACTTAATTTTTCCGATTGCCTTCCTGAAAATGTGTGGAATATGAGATGACGTAAACACCCGTACTCTCTGACTTATAACAGGACCGATCTGAAGTATTTTTTTAGTGTTTTAAATTACTAAGAATAAGGCTAATCATGAAAAAGGTGCCAGCTAGAGGACATTAATAATGTGAATGCTTAATATAATAAAGGCTGCAAAACTATTTGAATTCAATTTGTTTAAAATTAATTAATGGTATTTGAAATTTTACATTTAATGCCATGCAAAATATTGCAATATTAAATTTTTATTGAAATTTTCCAGATATGATTAATGTTTTCCTTCAGCCTTAATGATCCCCCATAGTTTGTAGGTAAAACTTCTATATTTATATTTTGTGTACTTTCCTGTTCCGTTATATATTGTTATCTGCCTTTTGCTTAACAAATAGATATAGCTAAACAAATATGTGACGCAAGCTTCATAACAGACTTTTACCAGGTTTGGCTTTCAATAAATTCAGTCGTGCTAAAAAACAAAATCCTATGCATCTTTTTCATTTTTATAAT